GATCTCATATCGATTCTGCTGTTGGCTCATGATATTTAGTGGAGTGAGACAAAGGCAGGAATGGAAGACACAAGAGAGAAATTGATCTTGAGTACTTGCCATCTTGTCATCTCTGCAACAAAAAAAGGTGATGAGGGTCAGATGAGCCTTTGTATTTAGCTGAACTGCTTATAAAGCAACTGAGAAGAAACCGTGAAAGAAACTGATCAGGCTATTCTCTATAATGGCTCTGTAAAACTATTGCCTCACTGAAGCCCAAATTGTTCGTGATTTTTCATTTCCAGGAGGAGATCGAACAAATCAGACTGGAATTGCTGAATAGCCAGACTACTCAATAACAAGCCTTCACCCTGCATTAAATCTCTTTTGGATAGGAGTCATTTATATCTACTTAGAGCACTTATCAAAAATGTTAAATAGGAGCACATGCAATGCCATGTTGCTGGAACATGTGACTTTTAGGGTTTCCTAAAGAAGCTGAACCTTCTTGGGAGGGAGCTATCCATGTCTATCAGTGATTAAGGCTTGATAGTTTCTATATTTGTTGTTGTTTTAATTGCATCTACATATTTACAGGTTTGCATACAGTCCACTCTTGAAATATATATGATCTTCCTCACTATTAGTCATAAGTCACATCCAGAAACATTTTTTAAAAAAATAATTTTCTTCTGCGTGGTACTGTGAAATCCACAATTGTGGTATTTCCCTGCGTCCACGCAGCTGACTCGGATCTTTCTTGAAAGCTTTTCCTAATTAGGGACTCCAGCCCCGCCCATCTACTCCTAATAAAGCCAGGCAGCGGGGCTTGGAGCCTTAGTTCCTTTTGTCCGCAAAAGCAGCAACAACTCAGTGTTCTCTCCTCTGTTATCCAGCAAGACATGGTTCAGTAGCATTGATTTGAAGGATGCCTATTCTCATGTGGTGATTAGACCACAAGACGGTAGATTTTTGTCACTTTTTACTAGCAGTCAGGCCTTTTCATTTCAAGTTCTTCATTATGGTATCGCCACAGCTCCACAGGAGTTACTAAGGAGATGGCTGTGGTGCAGGCTCATCTTTGGGTACACGGGGTAGTAGTTTACCCCATATTGATGGCTGGTTGTTGGTGCACAGTCCTGTGAGTATCTACAGAGGAACATTCAGTTTACTCTGTCTTTATAGGAGAAGCTTGGTCTTTTTATCAACAAGGTAAAATCTCTTCTTCAGCCTATCCAAACAACCCAATTCATTGGGGCTGTATTGGACTCCTGGCATGCAAGGGCCTACTTGCTAGCAGACAGGTTTCTGAATCTGCATTCAGAAGCCATACATCCATGCCAGGGATGTCCAGTGCCTTTTGGGACACATGGCATTCACCACAGCTGCCACTCCTTTCTCCTGTTTGCACTTTTGGCCTCTCCAGAATTGGTTTCTTCGGGTACTTCATCCCATGCAGGATGAGCCCAATGAATGTCTCATTGTTCCTTTAGCCATCCACAGGTCTCTCAACTAGAGGACTCATCACTCCAATCTCTGTGTGGGCGATGTTAGCAACTGACACTTCCCTCTCAGTGTGGTGAGCTCACCTCAAGGGTCACACCATCCATGGTCCTTGGGTGGCCATAGAGGGCACAGAGCACATCAACTATTTGGAGTTACTCGCAGTAGAAATGGCACTGCACCTTTTCTGTCATTTGCTCATGGACAGTATTGTCCAGCTTACCACCACCACCACGATTGTGATATTCTATATCAAAAAATAGGGCGGGATGCACTATCGCACTTTGCTTGCCCTCATCATCAGAATCTGGGACTAGTATGTAGCCATAACCATAACCATCAGTGCCATTTTTCAAGAACTCTCTTACTGGCTCCCTCAGTCAGACAGTTTATACTGACCACTAATGGTCCCTTCATCCTTCCCAGGCACGGGAACTCTTTGTCAGATGGCAAACTCCCCTTGTGGACTTGTTTGTCTCTCCCGCCAACATGAAGTGCCAGTTCTTTGGAGCACGTCTTACCACCACCAGACAGGCTGTTTGGGAGATGCCTTCCTCCTGGATTGGACATCTGCCCTCCTGTACATCTTTCCACTTCTGCCACTGCTGTCCAGAGTGGTCTCTCGTCTTCAAGCAGAGCAGGTAGTTTGCATTCTCATCACACCATGGTGGGCCTGCCAGCCATGGTTTGTCACTCTGCTCCAACTTGCAGGCAGCTGTTACATTCACTCAGACCGGACTTGCTGACTATGGGCAACAGCCCAGTCCCATACTCCCAGGGGGAGTTGACGGCATGGCAGATCCAGCCTCAGCCCTCTCTCAACCAGTAAAGGGCATTTTGGACCTTGCCCTGAGACCTGACACTAAACATTCTTACATTTGTAAGTGGTGTCATTTTTGCATTTTTTCACAAAAGCAAAGGGTTCAGCCTCTGTCTGCTTCCACTTCCCTCCTCCTTGATTTCTCTGTCAGATTCAGGACTCTCATTATTATTCTTGAAGGTCAATCTGGCAAATATAGATTCATTTAGAAGCGAGCTTCTCTTCCCTCTCCTTTATCCAATCCTCTTGTAAAGAGATTTCTGCAAGGCTTTAGAAATTTCTGGCCCTAAGTAGGCCTGTGCCCCCCTCTTGGAGGTTGGAGGTTGTTCTTTCTTCCCTTACGAAACCACAATTTGAGCCAATGGCCACTTCTGACATGTTCCATCTATCATGGAAAACAGCATTTTTAGTGCCTATTACTTTTGCTTGTCGCGCTAGCGAGCTTATGGCTCTTGAGTCGATAGTCCTTACCTGAAATTTCATAAGGATAAGGTTATGCTGGGCACAGACATTTCCTTCTTACCTAAGGCAGCATCATAGTTTCATATGTCTCAGGACATTGTCCTTCCAACCTTATTTCCAAATCCTTCTACTCCCCTGGAGCGGTCTTTGCACCTTCTTGATGTGCGGAGGGCTCTTGCTTTTTATGTCCACTGCACAGCTCCATTACAGAAGTCACTACGACTTTTTGTTAAGTACCGTAGGGATACTGTGGGCTTTCCTGTTTCTACCCAGAGGTTGGCGGCCTGGATAGTTGCAGCTATCCGGCTAGCTTATGAAATGGCAGGACTGGACTGACCTGTTCAGATCCATGCTCATTCCACTAGAGCATTGGCAGCCTCCACGGCTTTTTTGCACGGTGTGCCTCTGGATGATATCTGTTGGGTGGCCATATGGTCAACACCGCATACTTTTGTCTCCCATTATAAACTGGACTTAGCTGCCAAGAAGGAGACAGCTTTTGGGAGAGCAGTACTTTTTTCTGCACTAGCATGACACCCACCATCCGTGGGACTGCTTGCTAGTCTACCACAGGTGTGGATTTCACAGTACCATGCAGAAGAGAGTAAGCTTGCTTACGTGTAACCATGTTTCTTCTAGTGGTTAACTGTGAAATTCACACAACCCGCCCATCCTCCCCACATTCTGTCATGCCTTTTATCTCCGACTGTCTTTCGCGGTACGGAACTAAGGCTCCAAGCCCCGCTGCCTGGCTTTATTAGGAGTAGATGGGCGGGGCTGGAGTCCCTAATTAGGAAAAGCTTTCAAGAAAGATCCGAGTCAGCTGCGTGGATGCAGGGAAATACCACAGGTGTGAATTTCACAGTTAACCACTATAAGAAACATGGTTACAGGTAAGCAACCTTACTTTCACCCATTTCTGCTGAACTTTTTATTATTGTTATTTTTGGGGAGTTGTAAAATGCTAAAGTGTTTTGGCAATAATATTTTGCATTCCAAAGGCCCATCATTATCAGTATTTTCTGGCTTTGTGGGTTATCAATTTCTTCTTGAATGCCATCATAGAAATTCTTTTCCTTCTGTCTCTGTAGTTAAGAGCATACATTTGATAGACATTCCAGACACTTATAAATAAAACTCATTCAGTTTTTGCATTGTAGCCCTTGAGTACTTTTGCTACATTATGTCTCCTTTTTAATACCACCACGTTTCTTCTTATATTGATATTTCCAGTGCAAAACACCATGCAATAATCTGATTGAAAATAGCTCATTCCCTTTGACTTTACCCTTTGACTTTAGATTGATCACACAAAGCATTACAATATTAATACATTTTATTTCTTATCCTAGAAGATTACCAATTAATCTTTTGACTGTGGGTTATAATACGATATTCAGAATCATATTATTTAAGAATATATTATTCTGAATTTATTAACATCTAACAGCTAACAGCTATTATTAAAATGGAAATATGTTGTATTCGTTTTTTTAAAACTTGCAAGAAATTTCACCTGCTTTTAATTTATGAGGAGAGCTGTCAAAAGAATATGTTAGATAAATTTACGGGAAGTTATACAAAAATTTGATCTGGACAAACATTTCAAAAACCAATAATTTCTTAAATAAAATACTTGGGGCTAGATTAAATATTAATTATTAATACACAGGAAAATAGATTGGAAAGATGAGTGAGGTAAGCTGTCCCCATTCCCCATTGTTTTTATTTGTTGCATTGAAACATTAGCAATTAGTATTTAGAATATCACTATATTGGAAAGCTGAAAATTGGAGAACATGATTTATGTAATGGAACACAGAAGGGAGCATCATAGAAGTTTTCTATTGCTGGTTTTACCCTGGACCATGATAAATCCAGCAATGATTTATCATGTTGCAAAACTGCAAATTGTGCAACTGAACCAGGTTCCAAAACAATGGACTCCCACAATAAAATACTTCATAATTGGAAAATGCAGGAGAAAGGTTTTCAAATATAAATAAAGTAAAAGTACACAAAATTAAACTGTTATGTTTTGTTTCCTTTTGAAAAATAAAGTTTTATTTTACAATTTATTATTATTTATATTTTGAATTAGATATACATGTGATAACATCTTTTAAGTTCTTAGGGCTTTAATGTTCCCCTTAAATAACCTAAATCTCCTTCCCCCAAATCTTAGTTCTTGTCACAGTTATGAATAATACTTGTTGCCCTTTGTGTTTCCTTTCAGCCAGGAGCAGATGGATTCCCTCAGATCCTCAGATCATATCAGAAGGACTATATGCAATAGCGGTGGTACTCAGCTTCTCCCGGATTGCATACATTCTCCCAGCCAATGAAAGCTTTGGTCCCCTCCAGATTTCTTTGGGACGAACTGTGAAAGACATCTTCAAATTCATGGTCATTTTTATTATGGTGTTTCTTGCTTTCATGATTGGAATGTTCAACCTTTACTCCTACTACCTTGGTGCAAAATATAACCCAGCATTTACAACGTGAGTATCTGCCTAACTGTTTTGGGCCCAATGTGCTTTCTTCTTCCCAGATGCTGCTGCTTGTTTTCTTCAGAAATAGAGATTGTATAGAACAATGTATCAGTTCAGGATATGAAGCCTCCTACTATCCTAGCCAATGTGGCATAGTGGCAGATGTTGGACTAGGCCACAGGATGCCAGGGTTTGAATCTTCACTTAGCCATGGAAATTCACTGGGTGATATTAGGAAAGTCACACTTTCATCCTTTGAAAATACTTTGCCAAGAAAACCTCAAGGTAGATTTACGGTCACCACAAGTTAGAAACTTTGGAAACTTAAAATTAAGACTGAAATTAAAGACTGTATGCAAAACCAGGACTAGCACTAACATTGGGCAGAATAAGGAAGCCACCATGGACAGTCATAGAAAATTGTTTGCTATTTAATTATTTTTATTTCTTTTATTGTCAGGGATGCCAATAGTTTGTAGGATATTCTGCCCCATGTGCACAACTAGGAAGCTTTTGAATTTTATGCACCCTGACTGAAAAGGGGGAGAGAGGTAGAAACAGTCCAAAATATCTTAAGCCACCCCTGTTCAAAAGCTCTGTGTTACAATATTAAGGGTGAAAGAAGGGCAGCCCTGTAACTACATATGACCCATTGGAGATGTATTTGTAAAATTCCTTGCATCTGACTCTATCATAGAACAATCAATTGCCTGTTTTGTGGCATTTCCAGGAAAATCAGGATGATTGGAAAGTATACAGCAAGCCTGAAATGTTTACACTGAAATTTGGAGACTGAAAGCGTAAAGGGGAAAAATCCCTCAAATTAATAAATTCTTTACTTTGTTTGCATGAATGTGTGTGACATGATTAATAAATATAGTATCTTATGATATAGTATTCTAAAAATCAAAATCCTATTTTCAGACCTGCTCAGAATTATATATTTCTCTCACATCCAGTGTTCATATCCAACCCCTCTGCCCAATGCTTGTAAAGATGAAGTCAATTTTCAGTTTCCCCATACCATAAACTGTATATGATTATCCTGAGACAATTGTAGCTCTTCAACCTAAGAGCAGAGTTGTTCTTAGAATGAAACCAGTACAGGGGAATAATATGCAAAACTTCTAACTACAGAAAGAAAATTTAGCTTAGATAACAGTTGGAAAATGCATGTTTTTGATGTAGAAAGGCATGTATCTCAACAGTCTTGTAGAATGTCTCAAGCTACAATCCCATTAAAAGCAAGTCCTATTGAACTCATTGGAACCTTGGGAGTAGATATCTACATGATTGATTTCAATGTAATAGGAGTATTGCTCAGCTGGGAAGGAAAAAAGTCTCTCAAACTAAGCACAAAGTAAAAAAAAATCTCCAATGTTTGACCTCTATAACTTATCGAGTCATTCTGGAACCCTGACACACAGAGGGTTAGTCAATCAAAAGGAAGAGGTAGAAAGAAGAAAATCAGCTAAACTAAGCTTTAAAATATAAGTACTGTTACAAATCCAGATAAAAGCTCAAACTTCATTTGCTCAGCACTGCAAACATGTCGTAAGACCACAAGAAAGGTGCTGATATGGCTACCCCTAGTGATTCAATCTTTTTCTCTTACTTCCCAATTGCAGAGAACCGACTGAAGACAATTCTTTGCATCATTTGGCCTTTAAAAATTATAAATATTATTAAAATATTAATATAGTAATATATTCAATTTTCCAAATAGAAGATGAAACACTTAAACTATAATAGACTTGGTGTGAATTGAATCTATTTAAAATATAAAACAAGTATGGCATCCATTAGGAAAAATGAGGCAGGGTTATCACATAATAGTTGAAAATTATTCATGTTTAGAATAATTTAAGGTGGGAAAAATTATATACCAAGGGGTTTTCAGTAGCAAGAGGAATAAAATAAAAATGGTTGGGAAACAAAATATTCTGTGTGAGTGTTACTACTGACTATACAAACCTGCTGTTCCAGTGTTCCAAGTAGAACTATGGTTCAAAATTTCAGTTGGGGTGTTATCTATTATCTGGTAACAAATTCTCTCTTCTTGTTGCCTCATTTCCTCCTCAGTTCTCCCAGAGGTATTCATACTGAACCACTGTTCATGCAAAACCAATAAGAGGTAAAATACAGAACCAGAGCCTTGCGCTGTCTATCATGTTTCTGACTAGTCTGGACATACAAGTAGTCTTCCAGTATGTAAGAACTGAGATGTGTTGTTCTGTGCCTCTCCCAGCTTTGTCAGTTTGCTATTTTACTTGCCAAAAAGAAAATGAATTGCCAGAGGGAGAGACAGAGAGAATGAATTAAAGAGAATCAATCAATATTCATTGGCTTCTAAATTTATTTTCAATGGGAATAACACCCACACTTTGGAAGACTGACTTGAGTATTGTTTTCTGATCTTGCCTTTGGCAGGACATGTTGAAAGCATCTTCCTGATTTCCCTTATTTCTCTTTACAAGCTGAGCTTCAGCTTGACAACCCTGGAAATAGAAGACTTATCAAGCAGAAGACTCTCCTCCATAAATTACCACATGTACCTACCTCATCAGAAAGCTGACAGCAGAAGGTGGTGGTGGTTCGCTTTGCCATGAGGCATGGAGAATCTGGCACCTCACACCTTGCATCGCCTGCCTCACTGGGAAGGCAATTACATGGGGGGAAACCAGGAGCGCGTGTGATGCACATGGCTTCCCCCCATAGATTGGGCAACACGGGAAGCCTCCTATGTTGCCAGGGCAGCAGCAGCATGTTGGTTCCACCCCTCTGTATCCACGGAGACGGCAAAATGTCTTTTGATGGGAGCCAGCCAACTCCATGGGTGACTGAGTTTAGATCGGCATTTGCCACCAAATTTGAACTGGCAACCTTTCAGTCACCAAGTTCAGCAACTGAGCAGTTTAACCCACCAAATGAATATGAACCCCTATTACTGCTAACCTATGAAAACTGCTATTTCACTACAGTTTTTCTTTTACAAAGTAAAGTTATTTCCCATTATCTGGCAATCCAAGAGACAAGCAAGAAATGTCCAGGCATCTCCTTGTGGTTAAGAGATTCTAAAAGTTGTTGTGCTTCTTGAAAAGATGTATTTTGTTTGGTGTGATTCTATTTTTTAAAATTAAAACTAAGCAGACCAGAACCAAGTTTTTTCCAGTGCTTCAAAACCAAGCCTAATCTTGAATATGAATATATTTCAATCTGATATGAAAAAATCAGTATTAGCAATGCCAAATCACCAATACGAATTGTAACAGTTGGTATCTATGTAATGCGTTGTGAAGGGCCAAGTTTTGCCCCAAAGCCTTCCACAGGTAACACCTACTCCCCGCTCCCTGTCAAATGGGAAGCCCACCCCTTCCCCACCCTTGAGAGAATTGTGCAAGTCCCTTGGGGTCCAAGCCCTAAGGGAGACCCCCCATGGGAATGGAGCAAAGCTGAGGACAGGCCTATGCTCTCAGCTCTTCACACACCTGTACACTTCAGCAGGCAGGTGTGCTGGGGGCCTAGGCCCATGGGAGAACCCAGGCCTCTCTTCAGATGTGCTCTGTTCCCATGGGAGCAGAACAAAGCTCAGGATGCATCTCAGCTTCTCCCTTGGCACTTTACATGCCTAGCAGGCATGCAAAAGGCTGAGTGTCAAGGGGAAAGCCCTGCCAAACAGGGTGAGATTGGGGAGAGGCATGACCTCAGCCCCGCGTTGCAAGGAAGGCCTATGCAGGCTGCATCTGGTTTGTGGGATGTATATTGTGCAGGCCTGGTGTAAAGCAACATTGTTCACAATAAAGCAGTTAGAAGGGTTCACTTCTTACAACTCCTTATTGCAAGTATGCCATTAATTTTACTTTCAAGTGCACAGATCTTTTTTCTACAGCTGTTATGAGTGGAAAATAATGTATAACTTGATTGAAGACGTTATATGGAAGATGCACAAGAGGTTGCAGTTCTTGGGGAGAGAGGAGAGCTGGTTGTTTCTTATTCTTTTAATTTTTATTTCTTATATTCATTAAAATAGTATAGGCAATTTCAAATTTGGCTGTAGGCTAAGTTAAATGCTTTTCCATTGCCTGTGTTTTAAATCACCTGGTGGTGTATGGTGATTTCATGAATTTCACAATGTTTTATCTGGCAATGACTATTTGGTTAGGGTTTTACCAATCTCTTCCTGCATAGAAACTCCATGAATCAAGGGTAGGAATTCAGTGTTGTCCGTCCAGTGATGGAACCAGTTCTGGCAAAAGAACTAGGAGAGCTGTGATATTACCCCTCAGATAACCTCAAATATTATTTTCCCGCGTTATTTCAAAAATCTGTTTTCAAGAATTTTCCAGATCTCTCAAATAGATATTGAAGGTACACATTGTCCAGACACTTCTAGTTTAACTAATGTGGCTAATTTTGTCAGTGGTAATAGACATATGGCTCCTGGACAAGGCCCCACATTTAAAAGTGTCTCCATCACTAAATCCGGAATGTGAATAATGTATATAATTTTTTTTTATTGAATTTTATAAGATTACATCGAAAGTGGGGGAATAATATAAGAAGACAGAAAAGTAGGAAAATACCCAGCCCAGCCCCTGTGAGAGAAGAAAGAAATAATGTCCAAAAAAAAGTCCAAAAATGTCCCTGAAAAGGGAGAAAAGAAAAAAAAAAAGAGAGACTTCCTTCTGATTCTGCTCAGACAGTGTCTTTGGTTGTATATCGAAAAATAATGAGAACCCCTCAGAAAAAAAGAAAAAAAAGGGGGTCTCCATCATATCTTCCATATAACCTCGTGTTCTTTATGTAAGTTTATCTATGTAATCT